TGAACTTTTCAAACCAATGCCTGGATTTTGGATTCATTTTTGTGGACAGGTAGGAAACCAAAAATATCAGTCCTATCCAATTTGAAAGGGTACAGACTCATTTATTGCTTAATTCTTTTACCAGATATTTTTTGTGTGGCCACTCTTAATTCCAGTAATGCATTTCCAGATACAAATTAACTAGGTTGACCAAATTCAGAGTTTTCTGGACATCCATATACCAAATAGTGGCTTCCCCCACTCTCCCAGCAGCCACCTCCTGTTCCCATACATAAATGGCAGCCAGCAATGGCTAGAAACAAAGGACTCTCTCCCAGTCCCTGAATACAGTGACATTCATTCTGAGAGAAGCTGGGGCAGCTCTTTGAAAGCCGACTTCTTCAGCTCGACAATAACACACAATGAGTTATTGACTTGTTTATATACGGAGCTCTTTTCAGTAACTAACTCTGACTCCCACAGTCTGGACAAATGATTGATTTCGTGGTTAGAAAAAGAGAAAGCTCTCGCGCTAAACTCTGTAGTGCAAACTACTTCTTCTCCATTTGTTCTGTAACTGAATAGGACCTTATTAAAATGCACTTTCCAAAAAAATACCTGCAGCTGGCCTTTATAACCATGTTTTGTATATATAAATAAGTAATTTGTCCCAGTCTTTTGTATATTAACAGACCATTGGGAAACTTGTCAATATATATGAAGGCTGATTATCGTGTTGTTTCTGCTAAAACAGTATTACCTATATTGATCAGCATGTAAAATATGGATCAAATATTTATTAATAGATCAATTAATCTATTGATCTCATGAAAACCTTGGATTTTTTATATTAATAGATTCAGTTTTCTTGTTGGGTCATGTTGATTCATTAAGCACATTTTATATAACACATATCATATACTTCACTTTTAAATCATTAGCTATTCTTAATACAGAGAAAACGACATGCAGAACTATAGTTCAGAGCAATGAGAGTTTGGTTGGACTAAAAGGCTTTTCTTCCTTTGGCTAGTACCTATCTGGAATGTCAATATGAATTAGGTAGACAGAACACGCTAGCTGGTTAAATTACTGTACCTTTTCTAAAGATATTAATAATCGAACTCTAGAGTTACTATAGTATTTTCTCCTATAAAATAGATTTTTAAAGATCTTAACATGTAGTTAAAATTTTTACACAATCTCTATGATTTTTCTAAGCACACTTTAAAATATTTTGGGGAGAGTTAAAAAGAAAATCCATCATTGGTTAGTGATGCACGTTGGATGGGATCACTGCTGTTTTGACTGTATTTCTCCAGCAGGAGGTCTTGTGCCCGTTCTCCCCTCTAGGATGTCCATAAGAGAGCTTCCTGAGCCAGCAAACATTTGAAGAATTCCTCAAAATTAAGAGCACTTTTAATTATGGTCACAAGGGGCTACATGTTTTAAAAAGAACTATATATTACTAAACTGTGACCCCTTAGGGCTTTGGAGAGGGCACAATGCCTGAAACCTTAGTATTAATAGTTTTAAGTAAACTGATATAGTTTGGAAGGTAACAATCAATGGATATTGTTTCATTGGAATCTGTTACTTCAGGTACATCTGTGTGGATTTTTTCCCTTTAGTTTCTAAACTAACTGCTTGATGTGAATTTATTCCTTTTTATCTTCTGTTTGTCTAACCAGACCATTTTCCTGAAACAATTTTGTTCAGTTTTCTTTGCCAGAGCCATTATGTTTCTCGTTTCTTTCATTTCAGATACTGTTCTTGACTAGTTTCTTGATTGTTTTATTATGGTTCCCACTGGTATTGAATGAACCCAACTTCAACCTAAGTATGTATGGCTAATGTTTGTTGCAAGTTTTAAAAATCTTAGCAGCAAGGCCTGACAAAAATGATGAATGAAACCTTCCTGTTTAGCTTCTTAGATTTTCATGTGCACAATGAATATTTGAGGATGCCTTCTTATATTTAAAAGGGACAAGATGTACTTAGAACCAAGTGACTTGATTTCCTCCTCCCCTATATGGTGGGGATTTGATTTTTCAGTTATATGCAAATTTTATCCACCTTTCTGTTTCCAATTTTTAATTTTTGAAATCTCTACCCTTGTTAACACATGAAAAATTGATCTCAGAAATATCAAACCCATTGACAAAAAGTTATTTCATATATTTTAGATAAGAACAGCGTATCGAAAGCATATAGTTTTATTTTAATGAAGAAACAGGATATTCTCATCAAAGGTGACAGGAGAGAAGAATCCTACCATTGTTACCATGTCGTGGGGTTTAAGGGAAAGATGCTGTTAGCACTGCATATTGATACCTCAGGCTGAAAATGCCCTTTCTTAATTTGACTTTTTACTTTCGGTGATTTCCTCTAAATGCTTTCATTAAAATGTATCTTTTGGAATGCCTTGTCTATTTCCAGAAAAGGCCCCATGTGTGTATCCTTATATTTTGGTGACCATTTATTTCTTAATATCTTACTGCACTTCCCTTTTGGGATTATGCCATGATGGTTTTCAGTAGCATCGGTCTGTTTTCCCCCTTTTATGTAGATTAGTTAGTGCTTCTTTAGAAGTTGAATATTAGAGTGGAGGTGATTTTTTTCCAACTGTGGTGCTTTCAAAGGCAAAGAATTCCCACCTTTTAAATAAAAAGTTCCTTGGCAGCAGTTCTAAATGTCATGGCCCCGAAAACGCATTAGCATCGGCCTCACCTGCTGTGGCACCAAAGAGTTTCATGGTTCTGTTTTTGTTTTGTTTTGCTTCCCTTTAACAAAGATCTGCTCTGAAAGTTTTGCATTTGGAAATAAATTTTGTAAAGAATAGATGAACTTGTTAAATATTCTCCAGCCTAGTCCCTCTCTTCTACACCCATTTCCTCTAGAGACGAGAACTCCCGTGATAAACAGATGCTTTAGACCAATATGTTGTGCCATGGTTCACACCTAGGCTTACATGTGTGGAAGTTGAGCTTGATATTTAAGTTTCCATAGCATTAAGGGCTTTTTTGTATCATTTAACCACAGTAACAAATATATTCCTTGGGAATCGTTTCACATAATGATGTTTATTGCGGCACTATTCACAATAGCAAAGACTTGGAATCAACCCAAATGTCCATCAGTGACAGACTGGATTAAGAAAATGTGACACATATACACCATGGAATACTATGCAACCATAAGAAAGGATGAGTTCATGTCCTTTGTAGGGGCATGGATGCAGCTGGAAACCATCATTCTCAGCAAACTATCGCAAGAACAGAAAACCAAATACCACATGTTCTCACTCAGAGGTGGGAATTGAACAATGAGATCACTTGGACACAGGAAGGGGAACATCACATACCGGGTCCTATTGTGGGGAGGGTGTAGGCGGGAGGGATAGCATTAGGAGATATACTTACTGTAAATGACGAGTTAATGGGTGCAGCACACCAACATAGCGCATGTATACATATGTAACAAACCTGCAGGTCGTGCACATGTACCCTAGAACTTAAAGTGTAATAATAAAAAATAAATAAATAAATAAGAAAAGATTTTTCAAAAACTCTTTATCACTGATTCTCATTCTAGGGCAGGGATTGGCAAACCACTGCTTGTTGGCCAAATTCAGCCTGCCACGTGTTGTTATTGTTGTTTTTAAAAGTTTTGTTGAAGCATAGCCATGCTCATATATATGTGTGTGTGTGTATATAGTCTATTTCATGCTACAATGGCAGAGTCAAGTAATTGCTACAGAGATTGTATTCTCCCTCTGCCCCCACAAAACCTAAAATATTTACGATCTGGCCCTTTACAGAAACATTTCCCAACTCCTTATCTAGAAGGATCATCAGAATCACCGAAAGATTCCTGGGCCTTTTCTCTCTACCAAAACAGAATCTCTGATATACTGAGCTGTGTCTCATATCATTGGATGAAGTGTCTACAGGTTTAATACTATTATTCTAGTATATATGCACATCTAGATTCAAGAGATCATATTTTTGAACCTCCCTTCCTCTATTTGATGTCAAATATAGGAGTAAGTCTTCAGGTAGGGTTTGGATTAAAGATTTATGTTCACTCAAACATGATTTTCCAGGCATACAACTGAGAAAGCTTACTTAAAACAACAACACTAACAAAACAAAATGTAAACACATAGTTGTTATTCATTTTCACTCCAATCCTCAATAAGGAAATATGGTATGGCAAGTCCGTTGCTAAAACATTATTAAATATTCCAATTCAGAGGGTTCTGTATTAGGCTCTTATTCTCTATTAATGTCAGTCTGTTAAGCAAATATTATTTTGGGAGTTTAACATCATTTTTGTTTGAAAATAAGAATTTCATTAAAAAACATAACAATTTCATGTTTTGTATGAAAATAGCATTTGTTTCTATAAGGACTATTTATAAAGAAATACAGAATGGGCCACATTCATTTTTTATAACACATGGGTTAGCAGCAGTAGTGGAAGACCTTTATCTAGCTTTGTAAATGGAGCAGGTTTGAGGTAACTGTTTATGTATTTAGATGCATGATGCTTTGTCATGAAATATCATAAATGATTTAGCACCATTCTAGACTGTTGAACTGACACTTTTGGTTTATGTCATTGACTTCTTATCCCGACATAACAGCAAACAATTTACTCCCTACTCATAATGAAAGGTTTTAATAGAAATATCAACCTAATTTTTTTTAAAAAAAGTTGTGTTCATTTTAATGAAATGCTTTAAAAAAGTACTCATCAGTGTCTAATATCTGCAGTTAAGGACACTCTTGCCCTAAGTCATCTTTAGTAATCCTCAATACAATAAAAGATTGAAAGTAAAAGATTCAGTTTGTTAAATGTTTTAAATATAAAATGAAATTTACAGTTTTTTTATGTAAGCATCAGCAAAATTAATATCGAATTGCATTCATGATCATGCTTAACTAGCTGTTTGAATAAATGTCGCTATTATGAGCCAATAGATACCTGCTTTCATGCTGTTTATTTATTTTTTCTAGCTGAACATGGCCATGAATGAACAGAAGGAGGAAATTACAGAAAAAGTCATTCTTTCAATGACAGCAAAGGAACACCATAAGGAACATGAAGAAGTAAGGAAATAACTTTCTATATTTTAAAACTGCAGTGAGGGTCATGCGCAATGGCTTACACCTGTAATCCCCACACTTTGGGAGGCCAAGGCGGGCGGATCACGAGGTCAGGAGTTTCAGACCAGCCTAACCAACATGGTGAGACCCTGTCTCTACTAAAAATACAAAAATTAGCCGGACATTGTGGCACGCACCTGTAATCCCAGCTACTCTGGAGGCTGAGGCAGGAGAATCGCTTGAACCCGGGAGGCAGAGGTTGCAGTGAGCCGAGATTGCGCCACTGCACTCCAGCCTGGGCAACACAGTGAGACTCCATCTCAAAAAACAAACAAACAAACAAAAAACCAAAAAACCTGCAATGAACACTAATTTTAAAATTAAGATAAATTTTACTTTGGTATAGACAGCATGAAAAATAATTGCATGCTTAAAAGAATAAAACAAAATATAATTTTCTGAAAAAAGTCTCATGCTCATGAATATTTTCTCATAAGTTTCCTAAATTGGTAAATTGTTACATGCAACTTGAAATTGGAAGTTATAAAACCTGCTAACATAGGAAAAACATTAAAACATTTTTTGAATTTTTGATAAATACTAAATCTTGCTGTTATATCTGGTTTTCTAAGAATAGAGTTATTGTTCTGAATTTTAGAAATACCAACAAAGTTATATTTTGTCAAGGGAAAACTATAGTTTACAAATGTTAAGCCTAAGTGAGCTAATCAGAAGATTCTGTAGGCAATATTGTAATGAAGAACAATATTATTATTAAAGCAAACCTTCTTCTCTTCAAAGCTCATGCTGTGAAGTTGACAGCATATTCCATAAATGAAATAATACAAAATTGGTGTTAGACAAAAGCGGAAAATGATTTTCATGTCGTTTCCTGGAATGCAAAGGCATTTAATCTTTCTAAGGAAAGAAAGTGAATTTTCTAATTTCCATGTACTTCTGTCAGTAGAAATCCAAAGTAACTTCAGAAATAAGATAATGTGAATATTTTAAAAATAAACTTCTCATATATTTCTTTTTTGATATTTTGGTAAAGAAATGCATTCAAGCTTCAGGGTTTTGATATTTCTTGTCATTATGATTGCATCTTCCTTACTAGCCATGTGTTTTGTAATAGATGAACAAATAGCATGCACCAAATTTTTCTGTGTAAATTCTATTCTTACATTAGAGACCATATTAGTATTTGGGACATACTTGTCTAGTATTAAAGACTATATTGTAAAAATTGATTATCCTTCTCAGTAGATAATATTTCATAAGGAAAATTAAAGTTAAACCATTTCTAAAATGTAATAAATAGCAATAACACAGATTTAAATTATAGTTCTGACTCATTCTCCTAAATATTAACAAGTTACAAGACTAGGTTGTTAATTATAAATTTGAAAAAACATCATTCTCTGTGTTTGAAAAATGTTTTACCAGAATTGGAGAATTTAATTACATTTTCACAGTAAGTTAAAAATGAATCTACCATGTATCTTGGAAACTTTGGGAAATGCAAAGAAGTCTCTCTAGATTAATTAGTATAATTAAAATAATATCTATAGCAATATCAATTATTATTAGAGATTAAATAGAAAATATTGTAAAAGAATAACAGATTAAGTATTTTCTTCCTTTTAAACATTGTAATTATTTTGCCTTTTGATATTTTATGCAAAATTATAATTTCAATGGACTGAAAACTTGAAGTGGCCTTGGAAAATGATCAGCATAGCAAATATGTAATTTTTAATCTTACCTTGTTAGCAACATTGGAAATGAAAATTATCTTTTCTGGAAAATCTAATGGCAATTATGTTTATTTGGTGTTTCTTCTTTGTTATTGTCATCTTTATTTTTTTTAGCACTATATATTTTGGTGTTCTTCTTACACAATGCCTTATTTAGTCATATATTTGCTTTTTCAGCTCTGGCTCAAAAAGCCTTTTGTTTACTTCAAGTATCAAATACACAGCGAGGAGAATACATATTCATGTATGTGTATGTTTGTGTGTGTGTGTTCATATGACACTTTCTAAATATATTCCATAGTCTCTGAAGATAATTTCTGTGTGCTTACTTGGAAAGTGATTATATTAATCTGGATGTGTAAGTTCTAACTTTTTGTTAGAAAAAATCTAAAAGACTCTTTTTAGAAAAGTCCTTGTTACCACTAACATGGCTCTCTTGCCAGGTGAGTTACCAAGGCATTTAAAATGACACTATTTTCAGTTGTTTCTTACCCCATGAGTGGATGAGGAAGTTAGACTATCGAATAGCTTAAAAAACTTGTGATTAGAAAAAGTCTAAAAATTTAGGGCTAAAACATCAAGTCTAATCAACATACAGAGAAAGGAAATCCTGATGGAAAAGAGAAAGGAAAAATTTGGTGGTGAAATTACTTCAATATTTTCCCTATGATTTTTATACAAATATATTCCTGGACAATTCTCAAACCCCAAATTAAATATCATAAAATCTGAGATTTAGATCTTCTGCTGCCTACAGTTTTATCTTAAAATCTTGTTTTATTTCACATAATTTTTCCACATGAAATTTGGGAGTAACAGTAATGTATGCATCATAAAACCACTTTGAGGTGATGATGTATGTTAAAGTACATTAAGCTTTTTAAAATTTTTTTTTAATTTTTTAATTTTAGAGATAGGCTCGCTCTCTGTTACCTAGACTAGAATGCAGCAGTGTGATCATAGCTCACTGCAGCCTTGAACTCCTGGGCTCAAGTGATCCTCTTACGTCAGCCTCCTGAGTAGCTGGGACTTTAGGCATATACCACCATGCCCAGCTCATTTTAAAAAGTTTTTGTAGAGATAGGGTCTTGCTATGTTGCCCAGGCTGGTCTTGAACTCCTGGCCTCAAGTGATCTCCTCCCTTTGGCTTCCCAAAATGCTGGAATTACAGAGGTGAGCCACTGTGCCCCGCCACATTAAGCTTTTTGGAAATTTGCATATGACTTCTTATTATCAGTATAAAAGTGCATTATTCCAGGTTCTGTATCGTGTAGGTACCAAAATGACATTAAATGTGTAGAATGTTATTAGAAGAAATGCCTATGAGAGAAAATGGAGAGAGCACTGGATAAGACTGAGAAATCTGTCAGACTGAAATGCAGGCCTGACCCCAAATGAGGGAGGAAAGGAAGGTTGGGTAGAAACATCCTGGACCACTGTGAAGTCTAAAGGTTTGGCAAAACTGTTGGTGGATTTTTGAGCCAAACTTGGCCATCAGAGGAGTCCTGTGACTCTCAGGGATAGACCTGCTTTAATATCCTCAGGCATTGGTGCTAACCTGGGGATGGATTTCAGAGCACCATAGATGGGACCCATGGTCACTTATGCTCCTGTAGTTAGAGGTCTATGAGACACAGTGTCATAGCTGTCCCCATAGGTATAGTAGACATCATCCTTGTAGCTATCAACATAACCCCATTGCCAGAAGAGTTATGAAGACATTGAAGTTGTCTATTTTCAATTGTTCCTTCTCCCATGAGTGAATGGGGATGTTAGATTGTTGTATAGGCCTAAAAGCAGCACATAAAGGACCTCTGGCTGAAAATAGGTTAGATCTACCTCCAAAATGTTTCCCATCTCAGAAGGGTTCTAGGAAACTATTAAAAATGTGGTAGTATTTGGGCCAGGTGTGGTGGCTCACGCCTGTAGTCCCAGCACTTTAGGAGGCTAAGGCGGGCAGATCACTTGAGACCAGGGGTTCGAGACCAGCCTGGCCAACATGGTGAAACCCATCTTTACTAAAAATACAAAAAATTAGCTGGGCATGGTTGTGCATGCCTGTAATCCCAGCTACTTGGGAGGCTGAGGCAGGAGAATCGCTTGAACCCGGGAGACAGAGGTTGCAGTGAGCCGAGTCCATGCCACTGTACTCCAGCCTGGGTGACAGAGTGAGACTCTGGGTCAAAAAAAAAAAAAAGAAAAATCCACAAAAATTTGGTAGTATTTGAAGTGCTGGCAATAAGAGGTGCTACGCACTTCAGATTTCCTGGTTAGTTACGCCAGCTCAACTTCCAAATAAAGACATAGTTCACTTTGCTCTCAGGCTCCCATGTCTTTTCCAATCTTCATTCAACAAATCAGGGTTATAAAACATTGTATTATTGACCCTGAAACCAAGAAGAGATTTTAAGCAGTTTAAAATACTAATTTTATTTCCCTGCCTCCTTTCTGGTTCAGCTTAAATATGTTGTTAATTAGAAAGTTTCTTGATCTTAAATTGAAGTGCTGACCTGGCTTTGAGACCATTCCGTGTGTTACATGCCTAGATGACGTTCCTAGTATAGAGGCCGCCACCCTTTGTGCTGATTTCAAGTGACAGTTCTGTGCAAAGTGCTCTGGAGTTCTCCTTAATAACATGGATGGATTCAAGCCCACACAGAATTCAGGCTGACAGCTGAACTCATCACTAGAAAAACCAGGAGCTCCTCAAAGAGTCATTAATAATAGCCAATGTACAGTGTTCACAATGTATGGCTCAGAAATGCACAGCTTTAACATGTCTGCTTTTGAAGCCTGATTATAAACAGAATAACACTTTGCTCTGACTATAAATCATCTTGAGAATTGAATTGAATTCAAAGGTTGCATGCATGCACCATACAAACATGATCAAACTGCCCTACATGTTATGCAAAAACCTGTCTGTATGTTTATAGACATGTGCACATTTGTATTCTTTTAGAAGTTTGGGTTTGTTTTCTCACCAGAATATTCAATATTTTTTTGCTACCTTCTGCTTATTTGTCACTCTCCCAAATTCGGTACAAGTATCGCTTCCGTGCTGCATTTCCACGGAGAATGAAGAGTCGAATGTGTAGGCTTTCTGCTGCACAATGAGATGGTGCATTTTTTCAGCATATGCATACGTAAGCCTTCTTTTGTGAATGGGACTGATAGGGTCAGATAATGTTTAAAGGGAAAGGCTTTATGTCTCTCAGGCCTCTATGTTTCCACATGGATGCCCCCACACACACATAGATTGAATTATGAACAGACCCATTAATGCTGGGATCACAAAAGGTCAAGTTTTGTCTTCTTTTACCCCTATTCACATTGCCTTTGTAGAGGGAAAAAAAAGGATTTCAGAAAAAAAAGATTCATGATGAAGAATTTTAAAGAACATTTTTTCCCTTTTAGCAATATCTGTGATTTGGAGAAAAAATCATATTATGTAAAATAATTCAGGAGTATTATATTACCTACCTGATTTTAGTATATGAGTTATTTCATGTGTAGAGTTGTCTTTTAGGATGACATGTTATCATAATAACTGAGAACAAAACGTAACACTTTGGGGATAAAAGACCTTATGAATATGTAAAGTAACATAAAGTTTGAGTAAAACTGAATGGAAACATTATCAAAATGTCAGTGGCAGGATTCTTGATGTGTTTTCTCCTGTGTTTAAGATATGTTAATCTTTTCCAGATACCTTGAGAGTTTTAAGTTATTTTTTAAAATCAGGTGATAATTGGTGTAATTTTGTTTCACATATGTTAACAGATTATCCTGGATCCAATAAAAATAGTAGAGAAGGTTTTTGAAGCAACCAAAAATCTATCCCAGATGAAACTTTTAAGACTTTAGCCAATAGCCCTTTAGAGTGCAAATGACATCATCAATTGTATGGTTGGTTGATTTTTGATGTCACATGAAATCCCCTATCAGTGAAAGGCTATAGATTGTGACAGTAAAACAAGTCATGTATAAAAATGCCCTCAAATCAAAGTCTGAGTTTCCTCCCTTTGGTTTTTTTTAATTTTTTAATTTTTTTATTTTTTATTTTTATTTTTTATTTTTTGGTGACTCGCTATAGCACAAGGTGCAGTACATGAAATTATAGAGAACATTATAATTGAGTAGTGAAATACAATGCATGATACTTAGTAGACTTTAAAGACTGCATAACATTATATCTTCCCAAATCACATGATGCTGGAGATGGGTGCAGAGAGGACCAGTATTTTTCGGAAATGGAGTCCTTCTATTTAGGGCTTTTGGTTCTTGGATTTTAATTTCATCAGATAACCATAAATGCAAGCCACCTTGTCCAGTATTGGTCTTTAGCTTCAAGGATGTTATACACTATTATCCATCTTTTTTTAGGATAATACTGCTAGAGGGTAGTATGATCTAATGGTGAAGATGAGGCTGAAAGCATAGACTAATATTGGATCATCTATCATTTTCATATTTTAAATGTTACAACTTTCTTGTAGGATTAGCAGTACTATGGAAAGCATGGAAATTCATTCCAAAAAGTAGTAAAAGAAGGATAATGAGAGAAACCTGTCACTGGATTTTATAGCCTATAAATAATATTCTTTTCTTTTTCACATCTTCTTTCTCTTTCTTCCCTTCTCATTTTCCCCAATCACCTTCTCCTTTTAATTTCTTCCCTCCTTTTCTTTTCTTCTTTTCATTAATTTTGTTTTCTTTATCTCATTTTCTTTTTCTGTTTCCTTTAGGATTCCTCCTGACCTCCCTGTATTGTCTCTGCCTTCCATTCCCATGATATCCAAAGTTTTGTCCAAATTCCACTGGCATGACGGGCTTCCTTATGAATAGATAATAGAAATTTCTATAGACTGTCATTTGAATTTACAGTTAAGGGCTGACTCTTAGTAACCTACTATATAAGTTATATAGGATTGTAGAGATTTAGCAGAATGCAATGTGTTTATCAGCTTTTGGTAGATTGTGCTGCATAAGTCAAGGGGCCCAATAGCTGAGTGACTTAAAACAAGTATTCATTTTTTGCTCACCTTACATGTGGGCTACAGGTTGTTTGTGGCTCTCACCAGTATGTCTTTCTCAGTCTGGGATACGGCTTGAAGGAGCAGTTCCTATTGGGACATTACTGTTTCCATGGGGTGGGGTGGGCAGGGGGAAGAGAGCGATGGTAGAACTGCACAATGGTTCTTAAAACTTCTGCTAAGAAGTGGCATATATTACTTCTGTTCATATTTCACTGGCCAAAGCAAATCACATAGGAATTCTGATGTCACATATATGTCACATATAATACTAATAGAATTATTAGTAAAGAATGATCAATAAACAGCTGACTTTGATTGAGTGCCAGATGGTAATATCCAGGTACTAAGTGCTGGAAGGTCTGCCAGAGGAAGTGGGGTTTCTGATGAGTGGACTTGGATATAAAAGAAGAATGAGTTATAAAACTATGGCCTAGGCATCCAGGGACATACACTTTAATTTCAGTGCCAGTATTAATTATCTGAGTATCCTTGGCAAATTAACTTTTCTGGGATGGAATTTTCTCATTTGTGAGATCAGTGTGTTGGGTTAAACATTATCTAACTTATGATACTTCAGAAATGGAAGGGATGTGTGTATATGTGTGCAAGGGGACAGTGAGAAGAGACATTTGGTTAGAGGAGAGGGGTCTGATGGGAATATGAGCCATAAAACCAAGTGGGGATCAGATTAGAAAAGGTCTTAGAATCTTGAGTACCAAGCTCAAGAATCTGAGGGAGCAACTAGGGGGTTTAATACACTTTTCAAGGTGGATTAATTTGGTGGAGGTGGCCTAATGGCATGGAGGGGAAGAGATGGAAACAGGGAGACCACTTAGTAGGTATTTTGTTAATCCAAACTGGGGAGGGGGATGAGGGGATTGAGGGCTAGAACCAAAGTATTACTTAAAAGAAATGAAAGAATGGATAGGACATTTACATATTTAGAAGAGGGATCTGCAAAATATAGCCCTGGAGACAAATCTAGCCTGCAGCTTTTTTTTTTTTTTTTTGTATATGAAGTTTTATTTTAACACAGCCATGCCCATTCATTTACATATTGTCTGTGTCTGCTTTCCAAATACAACTGTAGAGTTATATAATTTTGACGGATACCTTATGGCCTACAAAACCAAAACTATTTACTATGTGACCCTTTTTAAAACAAGTTTGCCAACCCTTTATTTAGAAGAAAGGATTATTTAAATTGAGTAGACAATTTATTACATTGGGACAAATAAGAGAGATATGGGAAACAAAAGTAAAATCGGAATCATTTTAAGTTAACTTGTTTCTATGCATGTAATGCTTGCAAAGGTCTTGGTAAAAGTCAAATGTAATTGAAATGTATATGTAATAGATATACATATAAACTTGAACTAAATAGGTACAGTAGATAATACATATTTAAGTCATGTGAGTAATAGTGCACACTGGCTGTCACTAACTTCCCTGAATGCTCTGTAGAAGGGATAGAAACAATGGATTTAACGTCAGAATTAGAATATAGGCTGGGGCAAATACCATATTTTTAGCTGACAGAGAAGTGGATGAGATGTAAGTACAGGGAAGATACTTTTAGAAGGATTTTCCATTTTATCTGTGAACATTGAAATGAGCTGTAGGATCTATACAGCAAATAGTTTGGAATTTCTGTCTTCCTCCTGTGAAATAGTGATAGAGATAGAAAAGATAGACCAAAAAATAAAAAATTAAAGCTTGATATGCAGAAAACACCTAGATTTTAAACAGGAAACACTATAAAAATATACCAGTACATTGACCACTTACTATAGGTTAGACAGTGTGCTCTCCATTTTTTCATCTCATTTAATTATCAAAATGTAAAGCCAGTGTTATTCTTCACTTACAGAGAACGATTTTATTACCTGTGCAAAGTCTCCCAGTCAGTAAGCGATGAAGCCAGGATTTTAACCCACGTTTTCAATGTCAATGCTCTATTCAAACTTATTCATAATTCGAAATGGGTCTAATTTGGTTACTTTGAAGAATCACAGAAGAAGTAGATTTCTGTTCTTCATCTCTTTTGGTCACTACCATAATATCAACCAGTGTTTATGAAAGAATCTAGCCTACTAGAGAATATAAGTTACATGAAACAGTGAAGAGTCAAAGAATGGTAATGATTCTTAATTTGTAAACTATATGGGTTAAAATGTTAACTACTGCTATTAATAATCCACAAGTAAGGCTCATATGTCTGTCTAAAATATACAGAGTAGAAGTCTAGAAATTTAAAAATCAAGGTTACAGAATCCTTAGCCTTTGGTGTTTCTGGAAAAACTATATGTTTTATTTTGACATTAATATATATTTAAAATATTTTCCAGAACAGAGCATTGTCTTTGAAGTTATATACATTTTAGAAAATTGCATCTATGAAATGTGAGAAAAAGTATTGGAATATTTGGGAGGAAGATAATAGGTTAATTTTAAAGGTCAACAAAATGATAATGAATTTAATATATATATATAGAAAATGTAAATGTTACACATAATAAAATAAAATATTCTAAAAATGAAGATACATGTAGTGAAATGAAATATTTGGTTGTAGGTTACATATATTGGATTATTTAAAGTCCTAGGAGGGTTTTATTTTGTTAAGCAATTTAAAAGTCCTTTGCAAACTTGTCAAATGTATATGTTTCTTTTCATATCCAGAGATATTTTTCATGCAACAATTGTAAAGGGCTACCTATGCCATAGTGCTGAAGTGAAAATATTAGGCATTTTTTCATAAATAAAAGGAAATGTAGGAATGTGTATCTCTTTCATTGTTTTTACTTCAGGATAGATCTGTACTCAAATTCTTGTATTGAAGTCATTTTCCCCCCATCAAGCTAGGTACTCAAAAATCTAATAGGTGTGACATCAACAATTACTTCTCGCTAACAACTCTTGTAATTTAACCCCTTCAGGTGAGCAGGCTGATTGATGAATTGCAGACAGCTATCAAAAGCAACAGAGGTCATCTCTCTAAACTTGGCCCCCAATTACAGGCTGAGCAGGAGCAATTCTCCTCTTATGTCTACCAACACATTAAAAGCCTTCCAGCAAACACGCTTGTCCCAGGAGGCCTGCAGCTCAAGGTGGGTGTCATTCTGTGCCTCTCATTGGATTCAGCCAGAGCGGAAGCCTTCTGCTCCATTTGAAGACACTTATAACAATGCCACTTAGCTTGAATATTTTTTAATGTTGTCTTCCTCAAACTGGTAATATTACAAGTGGTAATATTATTCAGGAAATAGATTTTAACAGAAAATACCTAGAGGTCTTTGAAATATGTATTTATAAGCTTTAATTAGTTTTCAATTCAGAAAAGTAATTGTAATGAAGGAATTTAATCATGTGAACATTTGCACACTTTTCCAAGAAACAAATTTTTCACAATGGTCATGGTATATTTCAGTTTCTAAAAATAACATTTGGAGAAATGGGCAAGCTTTAATAGTTGACAGACAGTGGCAATAGAAATTGAAGGTGAAAGGCCAGGTGACTGATTGATGTTCAAACTACATTTCCAAGGAAAAGGATCTGTATTGGATAAGTGTGACACATGTCTGAGTTCACTTGGTAAAATCAATACTTAAGAATATACTGGGAAAAAAGGTGAATTGGTTATTTGTCAGGACAAGATCGCTAAATGTCCTCGACTACTTTGCTATTGCATCTTTGAGAGAGATAAAGAACAACTCATATCTGGCTGAAGTGGTTTTGCTACTAAAAGCTTAGGGAATTTAAATACTTTTGATTTTCATAGCAGACATTCCATGTTAAGTTTGTCAAGTTAATGTTGTCCTATAATTTCATATTCTGCATTTCAAGAGATTGTAGTTAGTAAAATTTGAATTACTCAAAGTATGGCCTATTTCCATTTAAGAAATCATGGTTACTTCAACTCATCATTTCCTTTTGATTATTTTTGTGGGTAAGTGATAACATTAGAAGGAAATGATATTTTCATCAACTTTCATCTCTGCAATTCCTCTTTCTTAGTATTGTTTTATTCTGCAAGTAACATTAGAAACATTATATTTCTATCTATAACATTTCTTTTAATGACATTCCCGTGTGCATTTTGAGTGAGAACATTAGAATGTAAAAACGGACTTTTTGGGAAATGTAATTTCATGTTAAACATGATAATTTATTTCTCATAGTCTGCTAGTCAGCTAAGGGTTTAGGAAGTGATGTTCAAGACATCAAGGTCAAGGGTTTCTATAGTGCAGTAGCATTGTTCTTTTCCAGGTTTTTGACTTGATTACAAATCCATTCTGCAATTTTGCAAAGTACTTGCTATTGATTAAGAGAGAAAAAACCAGGTGAGGGAGAGTGGTTGTTTTCTAGAAGGATGCACTGCTAAGAAAAAAATAAAAAGGGAGGGGGAAGTGTAGTTGCTTTAATGGCATTCATCCTACTCATTTGTATCAGCAACAATTGATATGAACTACAGTGTGACCTGGGGGAAAAAAAGTGGTTTTTTTTCCCTCAAGTTCACTGCTTATTTCTGAAGAATTTCTATCACTTATACATATTAGCACATGGGCTGGGTAGCAAATGCTTAACTTTAGGATCAGAATTGTCTCTCTCATACATACTCCCTTCTTTGCATTTTACTTTTGTTTTTAATTATTTTTTTAAGTTCTGGGGTACAGATGCAGGATGTGCAGGTTTGGTACATAGGTAAACATGTGCCATAGTGATTTGCTGCACCTATCATCCCATCACTTAGGTATTAAGTCCAGCATGCATTAGCTGTTTTCCCTAATGCTCTGCCCCCCACCCAACCTCCCCTGATGGGCCCCAGTGTGTGTTGTTCCTCTCCTTATGTCCATGTGTTCTCATTATTCAGCTCTCACTTATAAGTGAGAATATGCAGTGTTTGGTTTTCTGTTCCTCAGTTAGTTTCCTGAGGATAATGACTTCCAGCTTCATCCATATGCCTGCAAAGGACATGATCTCATTCCTTTTCATGGCTGCATAGTATTCCATGTTGTGTATGTACCACATTTTCCTTATCCAGTCTATCATTGGTGCACATGTGGGTTGATTCCATGTCTTTGCTATTATAAATAGTGTTGCAATGAACATACACATGCATGTATCTTTATAACAGAATGATTTATATTCCTTTAGGTATATACCCAGTAATGAGATGCTGGATCAAAAGGTATTTCCAGTTCTAAATCTTTGAGGAATCACCACACTGTCTTCCACAATGGTTGAACTAATTTACATTCCCACCAACAGTGTAAAAGTATTCCTATTTCTTTGCAACCTTGCCAGCATCTGTTTTTTCTTGACTTTTTAATAATCACCATTCTGACTGGCATGAGATGGCATCTCATTGTGGTTTTGATTTGCATTTCTCTGACAATCAGTGATCAGTGATGTTGAGCTTTTTTTCATATGTTTGTTGGCCACATGTACATCTTTTTGTAGAGAAGTGTCTGTTCATATCCTTTGTCCACTTTTTAATGGGGTTGTTTTTTCTTGCAAATTTGCTTAAGTTTCATGTAAATTGTGGATATTAGACCTTTGTCAGATGGATAGATTGCAAAAATTTTCTCCTATTCTGTAGGTTGTCTGTTTGTGCTGATGATAGTTTCTTTTGCTGTGCAGAAGCTCCTTAGATTAATTAGATCCCATTTGTCAATTTTTGCTTTTGTTGCGATTGCTTTTGGTGATTTCATCAAAAAATCTTTGCCCATGCCTGTATCCTGCTTGGTATTGCCTAGATTTTCTTCTAAGGTTTTTATAGTTTTGGGTTTTATAGTTAAGTCTTTAATCCATCTGAGTTAATTTTTGTATAAGGTGTAAGGAAGGGATCCAGTTTCAATTTCCTCATTTGGTTAGCCAGTTCTTGCAGCACCATTTATTGAATAGGAAATCTTTTCCCCATTGCTTGTTTTTGTCAAGTTTGTCAAAGATCAGATAGTTGTAGGTGTGTGGCCTTATTTCTGGGTTCTGTATTCTGTTCCATTTGTCTACATGTCTGTTCTACAGTAACCAAATACATACTGTTTTGGTTACTGTAGCCTTGTAGTATAGTTTGAAGTTGGGTAGCGTGATGCCTCCAGCTTTCTTCTTTTTTAGTTAGGATTGTCCTGGGTGTACAAGCTCTTTTTTGGTTCCATATGAATTTTAAAATAGTTTTTTCTAATTCTGTGAAGAACGTCAGTGGTAATTTAATGAGAATAGAATTGAATGTATAAATTACTTTGGGGAGTATGCCTGGTTCAACATATGCAAATCAATAAACATAATTCACCATAGAAACAGAACTAGACAAAAACCACATGATTATCTCAAGAGACACAGAAAATGCCTTTGATAAAATTCAACATCTCTTTATGTTAAAAACTCTCAATAAACTAGGTATTGAAGGAACATACCTCAAAATAATAGGAGCCATTTATGACACACCCACAGCCAATATCATACTCAATGGGCGAAAGCTGGAAGCATTCACCTTGAAAACTGGTACAAAACAAGGATGCCTTCTCTCACTACTCTTATTCACTCCCTTTTAATGTGCTTTAAAATAGTTTCCATACCAGCATACAAAAGAGGAAATTTACATATGCAAAGAAGCCATGTCGTTGTGTTTGTTTAGATTCACTATGCTGTCTAGTAAAGTAGCCACTAGTCACTTATGGCTACTTAAATTTTAATTTTAATTAAAATTTAATTTAGTTAAAATTTAAAAAAATATATTTTTCTAGTGGTTTCCCAGGACTTCCCTTATTTTAGCACTAAAAAGCCTGCATCCAGCAAACCAAGATGGTTAGTCAACCTAGTCTTTTCTCCAGAATTCTTTCTTCCACATCCCAGGCATTCTCTTTTTATGATTTTTTTTTTCCCTATAAAGTACTGAGTTCCATTTGCTTCTGCTTCCTCTCTCCTCAGGTTTCTCCTTTGCAATGTCTAGCTTCTCTCAGAAAATAAGTTCCTCTTCCACATCTCAAGAAACCTGGATATCAGCCCCATCCTCAGGCTTAGAAAAATGATTTTCAATCCTGGCTACATGTTAGATTCTTCTGGAGTTGTTGTGTTTGTTTGTTTGTTTTTAAGATACCATGTTCCCATCCACAGATATTTTGACTTAATTGGTTTCCTGCGCTAAGACTGACTTCTACCAGCTTGCAGGCACTGATTAAGTTTTCAGGAATTTTGTAAGCCAGTTGTTTTATATAGCCATTATTTAAAAATCATATAAATTTACAGTGAAATAGGTCATACACTTCACTTCCTAATTTTAAAATTACATTTTACTATTACCTATTCTCTTGAAGTTATTTAGACCTATTGTGTTTGTTTAATGTATATACATTATATAATGGTGTGTGCTACCGTGAGTTTCTTCCTAAGTTTATTTTCAGTGATGGCTTCTTGTATCTGAAAATTGGCTGTGGTCAGAATAGTTATAAAATAGAAATTGGCAAATACTATAAATGAGGGCTTGATTTCATGTTTTATTGATTGTCTAGACTAGGGAGTTGAAATACCACATACTATGGGCCAAATCTGCCTGTTTTTTTTGGTAAATAAAGTTTTAACGAAATATAGTGACACCTATATGTTTGTGTATTGTCTATGGCTACTTTGATATTATAGCAGAGTGGAGACCATATGACTTGAAAAATCTAAAGTATTTACTATTGGGTCCTTTAAAGAAAAGTTTGTGGATCTGTGGTCTAGATTTAAGTATGTGACAGAAAATATTCACAATGCAGATTAAATTCAAAAGTGCAAAATTTCTGTGTGTTGCATTGTGAATAGCACAAAAATTGAAATATTCTTCCAGTATATGAAAACCATTATCTGATTCAGCAAAGAACTTGCCCTTGTCATTGATTAACAAGAGCAGTCCTACATATGTCTTCTTTGTTTCATTTTTGTCTTATCAACGTGGATGAAAATATTAATCAACATTCAGGTCAGAACCACACTCATTTCTCAGTTGCAACCATAGAATGGATGTGGATACAAGACTTGGCAAAAATCAGTGAAACCAATTTTGAGAATGAATTGGCTATGTGGAATTTACAATAAAGAGTATTAGATATTTTATTATTATCTGCAAATT